TTTGTGATGATGAATGCCACGCCATTCCTCTTTAAACTGTCATTCCCGGCATAGTAGACCACATGGTGGTCTGTTTCAAAATGGCCAAAACCAGTCCATTTCAGCTCACTAATGCCTAAGATATCAATCTTTATGCGCTCCATTTCATTTTTGACAACTTCCAATTTTCCTAGATTCATGCTTAATACATTCCATGTTCCAATTATTAATGGATGTTTGCAGCTGTTTCTCCTGAATTTAAGTTGTGCCATGTCAGCAAATGGATGTCTTGAAAGCTTCACCTTATCCGTATCATTAAGGCTGGTTCTACTCTGATGATGCAGCTCTTTCCTGCCCTATTTTGAGAGCCTTCTGACCTAAGTGACTTATCCTCCTGCACTGTACCGGACAGTGTTTCTGGGCTATTCATAAAGTTGTAAAGTAATCTATCAGACAGTATTTCTCTGCTATTCATAAGGGTTTTGAGAATTCTCTGAGAAGTGGATGGCCTCCTCCTTCTTCCCGGTCTGTCTCAGTCTGTAAGCTGTTGAAACCTGTGCACCATGTGCAGCCCTGCTGGGTTTGAGACACTGGTGGCACAGCCTCAAGCCTCACAGCAACACACCTCCACAGTAGGACACACTGACAGACAAGTTCATCTTCCTTAGCTGTTCAAACCCCCCCCCCTTACATAGATCCTTGCCTCTTTCTGACAGCCTGGGAGAGGTGTGGTCTGAGTCCCCAGCATTACATGCATTCCTGCCTCTGCTTCCTTGCTCTGTCCTGGTCCCCCCACTCGGCTTTTTCTCTGCTTTGCCCTGCTTTCTCGCTGCTTGGGAGGGCTGTCGCCTGGGTCCCCAGCCTTACCTGGATCCCTGCCTCTGCTTCCTCACTCTGTCCTAATGAGGAATATTACATAATATTAAAATGCTGAATCCAACAAGACAACATAGCAATCTCTAAAATGTATATACTCTTAATGACACAGCTTTAACATATATGAAAGAAAAACTGATAGAACTGAAAGACAAAACAGAACAACAAAAACTAAAAAAAAACCCACAAGTATGTGGAAGTCAGCAAAGATATAGAAGACCTGAACAATACCATCAACCAATTAACTTAATTAATATTCATTGAATGCTGCACACAACCACAACTATATTTCCAGCCAACCATACATTATTTCCAAATGCTCAACAAACATTCTGAAAACGATCTCCTTTTGAGGAGTGGCTGGTGGGTTTGAACCGCCAGCCTTCTGGTTAGCAGTCAAGTGCCTTAGGCACCAGGCTACTAGAGCTCCTATATTATATAT